GAAGAGAGAGTGAGACTGCGACGCAGATCCGAAACCTCGAATCTCGGAGCAGCAGAAAACGAGCGGGGTCAAGGCTGGGGCGCATCTGACTGGCAGCCGCCATCTTCTGCACGTAGTAGCCAAAGCGCGACGACTACGTACCCGGGGAATCCAACACCATTCCCACACCGAACCTAAACGCCACCCTCCAAGCCGCCCGCCCATCTATCATGGACGCGCGTGACAGCACAGCACGTCGACCACGCGAGACACTCATTGATCAGGATGTGGAAGGAGTGGGCACCGCGACGCATGGGACGCATACGTCCTGCAAAGCTAAGAAAGAGGAAAGGCTAGGACCACATCTCCTAGGCAGCTCAGTGGGGGAAGAAGGGTAGTTCTCTTCGCGCCCGCGCGAGGCACCGACGCGGATGTCATCGCGCCATGCCGGGGGGGGGGGGGGAACGTGGCAGGGCCATCTGCTGATCAGTCGAGCCTCCTTCTCCTAGGGAGGGGGCTCCGGACAGGCCAGTCGCGCCGTGCTCGGGCGGCCGCGATACTCGCAGCCAGAGACGCGTCAGGATCGGCCAGGGTGCGCGCGGGTGGCGGGGGGGGTGGGCAGAGGCCTCGGCTGCGCCCACCTACGCACGTGCCGAGCAAACAGATCATCATTCACTATGGCAGCAATGCGAGCAGCTCGTGATTTGGGCTCGCAGCGAACAGTAGGGGTAGAAACAACTGGGATTCGCTGCGCGCGGACCCATTGCCACTGCAAGCCGAATCCTTGAACGGGCGGGCGGCTGGAGGGCAACAAAATCATACGCTCGTGGCAAACTGCATTGCTCCGGGCGCCGGCCGTCGGCTCCGGGCTCGGCGGCTCGCAAGCGTGACCGGCCGCCGCAGCAACAAACTCCGGAGCTCCAGCAGCAGCAGCAAGCTTCCGCGCGCCCAGCGGACCCGCAGCCCCCAGAGGGTCGGCCTGGGCCGCTGCGCCTGGCAGGGCTGGCTCGCCGGGACGTGCCAACTGCGCCACGTTGGTCCCGTCGTTGTCCTTGTGCGCCTTGAATTGGGTCCACTCGCCTAAGAAGGCTGCAACATCCGTCTCGCCCTCATTCTGCATGAGGCAGTCATGGGGCCGCGAACTCGTCGGGGAGGCGAGCCGCGGGAACAGGCCCTCGGCCGCGCAAGACTCTGGCCAACGCCGCCGCCAGCAACGGGGCCGCAGCCAGCGCCGAAGGCGGGGCACCCACCTCCTCCGCCAGCGCCGGTGGCGAGGCAGCGCGTTCCAGAGCCTCCGGAGACGCAGCGCCATCGGGGCGCGCAGGCGGTCCGGCGCGAGGCAGAACGCGCTCAGCCTCTCGAGCGTCACGCGCGGGGGGCGACAGCAAACGCAGCGGCGGCAGTCCAGGAGCATCATGCGCAGGTGGCGGAGGCAGCGCTGGTAGTTGCGGCAGAGGGCGCGAAGCGCTCGCCGAGGAAGGCGGCGGGGCGCAGGGTCAACTCTCGGGCGCAGCAGGGCGGGGGGCGCCAGGGGCCACGCCAGAGGCCGCAATCGGCGGCATGTTATCGATCTGAACGTCCGCGGTCGGTGCCCGCGGGTCACCCTCCTCCGCGGAAGCTTCGGGGTTTGCACCCTGGCGCTGGGCCAGTTGAGGCGCTCCCCCGGCTTCGGGGCCTGCGCCCTGGCGCTCGGCCAGTTGTGGCACTCCCCCAGGACGTTCCTCCAAGGACCGCCCCGCACGATGTGGCATCCGAGCTCCGATCGACCGAGGATGCACGAATTCTGTGGAGTCGACCGTGCTGTCGGACTCATCAGACGAGTCGGCAACAACGTCAGGGCCGTCCTCAGCGTCGTCATCCGCTGGCGGCGGCGGCAGGCTGCGCTCCACACAAAACGGTGGGGCGCGTGCCGGCGTCGGCCCGACCAACGGCAGATCGGCGGCACTCAGCGTCGTCAGCCGCGGCGGCGGCGGCGAGGGCCACCAAATCGGCGCGCTGGGCGCCGGGGGCGGCAGCGCTCCGGGCAGCCAACACCATGCGGCCTCGGCCACCTTGGCACCCGCATCGTCACTATCTGCATGTACAGGACCGGCATCATGGTCACGAAGTAGCAAACGTTGATGGGCGTCTGGTGGCGGCACGTCATGCTGCCGCACAGAAGGTGAAAACAGAACGGGACGGCGAACCAGCGCGGCGACCAGCGCTGCGACGTCCTGCATGTGCGGGCGGCGGCCGACGCGGGCCGCGTAGCCTCGGCTGGCTGCAGCAGCGCCGGCCGGAAAAGCCTCGAAGCGCGCGGCTAGCCCTCCACTCGCCTGGGCAGGGCGAAACGAAGCGGCCGGCGCGCATGGCAGCCAGCCCCGCGCGAGGCGCGCTGCTCCTGGAACAGTTCCAAACACCTCGACCCGGGGTGCCGGCTAAAACGCAGGGAGGAGGGAGGATGGGGCCACGAAGCGCTGCAGTGGGTGTGCGGGACGCATGCGGACGGTAGCACTGGGACTTTCGGTGGGGCCCCCTATGGGGCCACGGAGCGCTGTAGTGGGTGGGTGAAACGCAGGGAGGAGGGAGGAGGGGAAAGAGGGGGAAGGAGGAGGGGAGGAGGAGTAGAGAGGAACGCGGGGCACCGTCTCTTCAAAACGATGACCCAACACTTGGTTCCAGTCGGGACAATCATGCTAGATATCCCACTGGGTGGCCTGGACATGTAAAAACATATGGCTCCAGCTCTGGGCGACAATGTTAGATACACCCCTGGGCGGCCTGGATACGCTGAATCACATGGTCATTGCTCGGGTCAGCCATGTTAGATATCCCCGTGGATGGTCTGGACATTTACAAACACGTGGTGTCAGGTCTGGGCAACCATGTTATATACATCCTTGGGTTGCCTGGACACGTCACAACATATGGTCCTTGCTCGGGACAGCCATGTAAGATACCCCCCTGGGTGGCCTGGACAGGTAAAAGCAGGTGGTGCCAGCTCGGGCTGGACACGTTAAAACACATGGTCCTTACTCGGGACAATCATATTAGATACCCCACTGGGTGGCCTCGACAAGTAAAAACACCTGGTTCTAGCTCGGGACAACCATGTTAGATACCCTCCTGCGTGGCCTGGATACGCTGAACCCGCGCTCCCGCTCGAGGCATCCTCACAATGTCTTCCCTGGAAAGACCCAGAAAACTCCACCTCCTGTACAGAGCAACAAAACATTAGTTTTGGAATTGGGATATGTGTTCGGTAGCCCATTTCGACCCCCCGTGGGTTTCCTGATAATGTGGCGTTGTGCCCGACGCCATGTTAGATACACCCCTGGGCGGCCTGGACTCGTGAAAACACGTAGATCCAGGTCGGGACAACCATGTTAGATACCCCACTGGGTGGCCTGGACACGTAAAGCCACTTGGTTCCAGCTCGGGGCAACTATGTTCGATTCCCCCCTGGGTGACCTGGGCCCTCGTTGCCTCCTGGAGAGGGCCAATATGTATGTAGGCACATCTGTAAAAAAAACGGATTCGTGCCCCTGGAAAGGGCCAATCTATGGGAACACGCGTAAAACCAGACGGATTCGTGCCCCTGACCCAAATGTGCACCGCACCCTGTGTTTGATCGATCTGAATTTCAATTAGCCTGGCGAAGGGCCCAACCATATGCAGTTGTGGGTATCGCATTCGGGGGAGCCCCGTATGGGGCCACGAAACGCTGTACTGGGTGGGGGGGACGCATGCGAACTGCGCCACTGGGACATTCGTTGGAGCTCCCTATGGGGCCACGAAACGCTGCCCTGGGTGGGGGGGAACGCATGCGAACTGCGCCACTGGGGCCGTCGGTGGAGCTCCCTATGGGGCCACGAAACGCTGCCCTGGGTGAGGGAACCGCATGCGGGCTGTGCCACTGGGACCTTCGGTGGAGCTCCCTATGGGGCTACGAACCGCTGCCCTGGGTGGGGGAACCGCATGCGGGCTGTGCCACTGTGACCTTCGGTGAAACTCCCTATGGGGCTACGAACCGCTGCCCTGGGTAGGGGAACCGCATGCGGGCTGTGCCACTGGGACCTTCGGTGGAGCTCCCTATGGGGCCACGAACCGCTGCCCTGGGTGGGGGGAACCGCATCGGGCTGTTGCCCTGGGACCCTTCGGTGGACTCCCTATGGGGGTCCAAAAACGCTTGCCCTGGCGGGCGAACCCGCAATGCGTGCGACTTGTGCCACTGGTACCTTCGGTGGACTCCCTGCTCCCTATTTTGGGGCCACGAAGCGCCTGCCTGGGGGGGGAACCCATGCGGGCTGTGCCACTGGGACTTCGTGGAGCTCCCTTGGGGCTCGAAACGCTGCCTGGTAGGGGAACCGCCTGCGGGATGTGCCACTGGGAACTTCGGTGGAGCTCCCTATGGGGCTACGAAACGCTGCCTGGGTTGGAACCGCATGCGGTTGGGCTACTGGGACCTTCGGTGGAGCTCCCTATGGGGCTAAGAAACGCTTGCCCTGGTGGGGGACCGCATGCGGGCTGTGCCTGGACTTCGGTGGAGCTCGCAGCGCTCAGGCCTATGCCGCGAGTGGTTGGTGCCAGAGAGGCAGGCAAGGAGGGGGAGGAGGGAGGAGGGCGAGGAGGGGGAGGAGGAGGAGAGGAGGTGGGACGCGGGGCGCTGTCTCTTCAAAACGAGGACCCAACACCACAGGATGGTTGGGACAAACCAGCGTTTCGCTCGAGACATCCTCAAACTTGACTTCGCCGGCCCGTCTCGACCTCGTTTTTCATGGCAAAAGAATTTCGCCGTCGCGTCGCAAGTGAAAACCCAGCCCCTTGTTCAACAAAACTGAAAGAACCCCCCCGGGCCTACGCCCTTTCCGTGAAAAAAACATCTGCACCAGCAGGCGCTGATGTTGCAGCGGCGCTGCGCCGCGTGCCCTGTTCGAGCGGCAGCGTAAGGAAGAACACCCTCCCAGGCAGCGGCGGCTGGCCCAGGGCGAGCGTGAGAGGCGGCGGGCCTTCTCAGAAGGCGGCAGGGCTTCCCAGAGGCCCTCGCGCCTTGTGGGACGCCGTCGCCACCTTCGGGGGAGGCCCGGAAGACTCCTCGGAAGCCGCGAAGGCTTCTGAGAAGCCCCGATGCCTCCTGAGAATGCCCGCCCCCTCTCGCCTCCCCCCCCCCCGCAAGGCTCGCCGTCGAAGGTCACCGACGGGACGAACAGCGCGACGCCGTGCGGAGCGTTGCTCGCGCGCGCGGCCGGCCCAAAGAAGGGCAGTCCTCTGACGCAGATCTCGGGTCTTCTCGTTACGCCCTGGCGCGTGGCGCAAAACTGTGCGACCCCATCTCCGCACGACCGCCTCGAGAACAATGGCCCGCTTGTAGAAGCACACGCGAACTCCGACTGGAGCGCTCTCTCTTTCCGACTCTCTCTCTCTCTCTCTTTATCTCTTGGTAGTTCTCTCTGTTTCTCTTCTTCACCTCTGACTCTCTCTCTCTCTCTTGGATTCTCTCTCTCTCTCTGTCTCTCTCTCACTCTCTCTCTCACTCTTTCCCTCTCTCTCTCCCTCTCTCTCTCTCTTTTTTCTCCCTTATTCTCTTGTCGGTAGGCCGAGCGAGACTTCGTCGACGGCGGCCTGCCAACCCCAGCACGCCCAGTGGCGAGGGGAAGGGGCGGGCGCGCCCCGAGGGAAGAATGGCATAAAACCAAATCGTTCGCAATCCCTCCTCGCGTCGGCATCGACGGCGACCGCGACGACGACGACGGCGCGGGGCCCCGCCCCTCTTAACAGGAGAAGACGAAACCTGCTGCGGACCCACCGCCCCTGCAAGAAGGAAGCAGGCAGCGGAAGCAGGAGGAGAACGAAGAAGGACAGGCATGGGAAGGGCCAGGACGGCCCCAAAGAAGAAGAAGAAGAAGAAGACCTGTTTCTTCACTGCAGTCCTCGGCTTATGTGCAAGTGCGCTCGCGCGCTCGGCGCCCGAGCCGAGAGAAGAAGGACAGACATGGGAAGGGCCAGGACGGCCCCGCGATTCCCCCCCCCCCAAATCCAGCCGTGGTCACCGTCAGCATTTAGCCTCGCGCCGAGAACGCGGGGTGAAGCACATGCGCCGCCTGAGAACCTCTAACGGGGGGCCCTAAGGTCAGATCTACCCTGGGACCCCGCCCAGTGGCGCGAGGCGGGATTCTCGGGGATATTCAGGAGCCTGGGGATCTGGCGGCCGCGGTATGCAGAGTGGACGAGTCGAGACGTCTGTTATCAGAACCTGACGACCCCAACCTGTCGGGTGGGGAAAAACAGGTTCCTGATGCTGCCTTCCATTGCGCCCATGGAGAAAAGAGGACAGGAAGGACGATGACGATGACGAGAACTGTGACACACGCACGACCTCAAACCACCGTCCTTCGCGGGATTCCTTGCAAAAGAAACGAACAGACCGCATACTTATCATTACTGACGGTCCGCAAAGATTGCTTGGACCTGCGCTGGACCCCCCTCCCTGGCGCAGGGGGGTCCAACACAGATCCAAGAAACCCGTGCCAACGGTCGGAAGTGCACGTTTACGACCTTTTCCCTTCCTCGAGAGGATGAGCACGACAAGAGCAAGGCCTCCAGCCAAAGTCCTTCGTGGGATGCCTCCAGCAGCAGCCCCTGGAGCGGCGAGTTGCCCGGCGAGCAGGCCGAGACCGGCGAGCAGGGGTGAACATACCTCGCAAGAGCGCCGTCCGCCCGCCGGCCGCCTCTGTCGCTGCCACCGCCGCGGACTGGTCCCTCGGCCCGCCACTCAGCCGCCTCAGACTGAAGGGATCGGTCTTCCGTCTCACTCCTCCCCTTCGTTTTTTTTATATTGTCCAACCCTCCTTGGTTGGGTATTCGTTTTGAATAGAGCAATGCTCGCGCGTCCTTCTTCTCCCGCCTCCCGCCTCCTCCTGCCCTCTCTTCGCCGTCCCTGGGGGGCTGCGATCTGCGAAATTGTTGCCACTTTCGAGGGCTGCTGGTGGGCCCAGCGGAGTAAAACACCGCGCGGATCTGAGCGAGACCTCCCCTTGCCCAGGGGGCTGCGATATGCGAAACTGTCGCCACGTTCGAGGACTGCTGGTGTTTCCAGCGGAGTGAAACACCGCGCGGATCTGAGCGAGACCTCCCCTTGCCCAGGGGGCTGCGATATGCGAAGATGTGGCCACTTTACAGGGCTGCTGGTGGGCCCAGCGGAGTGAGGCACCGCGCGGATCTGAGCGAGACCTCCCCGTCCCTGGGGGCTGCATTCTGCGAAACGGTCGCCACTTTCGAGGGCTGCTGGTGGGTCCAGCGGAAGTGGGCACCGCGCGGATCTGAGCGAAACCTCCCCGTCCGGTGGGATGTGATCTGCGAAACGGTCGCCACGTTCGAGGGCTGCTGATGGGCCCAGCGGAGTGAGGCACCGCGCGGATCTGGGCGAGACCTCCCCGTCCCTGGGGGGCTGCGATTTGCGAAGCTGTCGCCACTTTCGAGGGCTGCTGGTGGGCTCGCCACTTTCGAAAGCTGCTGGTGGGTCCAGCGGAGTGAGGCATTGCGCCGACCTGGGCGGGACATCGCCGTCCCTGGGGGGCCATACCATGTTGTTGCTGCCCCGCAGACGTTTCAAGCCCCTTGTCCACCGTCGCCTTCTTGGACCTCGCGTCTTCATAAGTGACTCAGGAGGTTACTTAATTACTCACCGTTGTTCCCATGGTTCGGACCTGCGAGCCTCACGAATGTCGCTCGCAGAAACATATGCGTCCATGTCACGTCGCCGCCTTTCCGCGCCAAATCTCCCAAGCTACTCCTGCCCCACACTGCGCAGGGGTCGAGCACGTCGCCGGAGAAATTATCATCCTCCATCTCCCGAAGACGACGACTACTCCTGATATACCATTCCTGCGACGACTACGATTTCTATAGTAACTCTTGCGATCCCTATTAATATACTACGACTACTATTGCCACAACTACTTCTATGACCACTGCTGATACAACTACTGCTGCTGCTGCTACCACTACTACTACTACTACTACTACTACTACTACTACTACTACTACTACTACTACTACTACTACTACTACTACTACTACTACTATCTACTACTACTACTATCTACTACTACTACTACTACTACT